CCTCTCTCGCTGTGTCTCTCTCTGTCAAATAAATAAATAATCTTAAAAAAAAAATCCTCAACAAAATATCTGCAAAATGAATTCAACAGTACATTAAAAGGACCATTCATCCTACGATCCAGTGATATTTATTCCAGGGATGCAAGGATGATTCAGTATCTCCAAATGAATCATTGAGATACACCACATTAAGTAATGAAAGATAAAAATCGTGTGATCGTCTCAACAGATGCAGAAAAAACATTTCACAAAATTCGGCATCCATTCATGAGAAGCACTCTCAACAAAGTAGATATAGAAGGAACATACCTCAACACAATAAAGGCCATACATGAAAAACAACAAACATCATACTCAATATTAAAAAGTTGAGAGGTTTTCTTCTAAGATCAGGAAGGCAAGGGTTCTTTTATTTCAGTACAGTACTGGAAGTACTAACCACAGAAATCAGACAAGAAGAATACATAAATGGCATCCAAATTGGTAAGGAAGAAGTAAAACTGTCACTATTTGCAGATGACATAATACTATATACTATATAGTATACTGTATATAAAAAATCTAAAGACCACCAAAAAACTACTAGAATTAATAAATTCAGTAAACATGTAAGATATAAAATCAATATACAGAAATCTGTTGTGTTTCTACACAATAATGACAAAATATCAGAAAGAAAATTAGGAAAACAATCCCATTTACAATTGCACTGGAAAAAAATTGTTTAGGAATAAATTTAACCAAGTTGAAAGACCTGTATCTGAAAACAATAAATGACTGATTAAAAAAATGGAAGAGAACGTAAGTAAATGGTAAGATATACCCTCCTCATTGTTAGAGGAATTAACATTGTTAAAATGTCCACACTACCCAAACCAATCTACAAATTCAATGCAACGCCTATCAAAATACCAACAGTATTTTTCACAGAATTAGAACAAATAATCCGAAAATTTGTATGGAACTAGGAAAGACCCCGAATAGATAAAGCAATCCTGAGAAAGGAGAACAAAGCTGGAAATATCACAATCCCAGATTTCAAATTATATTACAATGTTATACAAATCAAAATAGCACATTTGTCCAAAAAACACATACAGACGGTCAATACACATTAAAAGATGCTTACTATCACTAGTTATCAGGGAAATGGAAATCAAAACAACATGAGATATCACCTCACATGAGTCAGAATGGCTAAAATCAAAGTCAAGAAATAACTGTTGGTGAGGATGTAGAGAAAAGGAAACCCATGTGCACTGTTTGTGGAAATGGAAATTGGTGCAACCACTGTGGAAAACACTATGAAAGCTCCTCAAAAAATTAAAAATAGAAAATACATATGATCAAGTAATTCCATTACTGGGTATATATGCAAAGAATGGAAAAACACTAATTCAAGAAGATATATGCACCCCTATGTTTATTGCAAGATTATTTACAAAGCCCAGACATCGAAGCAACCTGTGTCCATTGATAGATAAATAAAAAAGATGTGAAATATACATGCAATGGAATATTAATCAGCCATAAAAAAGAATGAAATCTTCCCATTCACAAAAACATGGATCGACCTAGAGGGTATTATGCTGCATAAGATAAATCAGATGGAGAAAGACAAATATCATATGATTTTACCTGTATGTGGATTCCAAAAATAAAAACAAATTCATAAACAAACAAAAAACAGAAACAGTCTCTTAAACACAGAGAACAAACTGGTGCTTGCCAGAAGAAAGTGGGTAAGGGATGGAATAGGCAAAATAGGTGAAGGGAATTAAGAGTAACAAACCACCACTTATAAAATAAATGTCACAAGCCTGCCTGGGTAGCTCAGTGGGTTAAGAGCCAGACTCTTGGGTTTTGGCTCAGGTCATGGGTTGTGAGATTGAGCCCTGAACCCCACAATGGGCTCTACACTCAGCAGGGAGTCTGCTTAAAGATTCTCTCCCTCTGCCCCCCCCACTCTTGCTGTCTCAAATAAATAAATCCTAAAAAAAAAAAATAAAATAAAATAAATGTAGCAGAGGTGAAAGGTAAAACATAGAAAATATAGTCAATAATATTATAATGTTGTATGGTGACATGGTAATTGCACGTACGATGAACGTTGCATAATGCATTATGTAGAGAATTCTCCAATCACTAAGTTGTATACGTGAAACTAGTAACATTGTATGTCAACTATTTCAAACCAAGCAAAACGTAAAAAAAAAATTTTAATGAAAAAAGAAATCAAAGATGAAACAAATAAATAGAAAGATATATATATATATACTATGATCATAGATTAGAAAAATGAATATTGTTAAAATGTCTATAATACACAAAGCAACCCACAGGTTTAATGCCATCCATATGAAAATACCTATACTGGGGTTTTTTTGTTGTTTTTCTGTTAAACTTTATTTTAATTCCAGTATAGTTAACATACAGTGTTATATTAGTTTCAGGGGTACAATATAGTAACTCAACAATTCCATACATCACCCAGTGCTCATCAAGACAAATGCACCCCTTAACCCCCATCACCCATTTCACCCATCCCTCCACCCACCTACCCTCTGGTAACCATTAGTTTGTTCTTTATACTTAAGAGTCTGTTTCTTGGTTTGTCTCTCTATCTTTTTTTTTTTCCTTTGCTCATTTGTTTTGCTTCTTAAATTCCACATATGAGTGTATAGCATTATACTCCCTAGCTCCATCCATGTCATTGTAAATGGATTCACAGAATTAGAACAAATAAACCTAAAAATTCCTTGGAACCACAAAAGAACCAGAATAGTCAAAGCAACCTTAAGAACAAATCTGGAGGTATCACACTACCAGATTTCAAACTATACTACAAATAGTAATCAAAGCAGAATGGTACTACAGGCAAAAACACAGGTACATGGATCAATAGAACATAACAGCCCAGGGGCGCCCGGGTGCCTCAGTCAGTTAAGCGGCTGCCTTTGGCTCAGGTCGTGATCCCAGAGTCCTAGGATTGAGCCCCACGACGGACTGCCTGCCCAGTGGGGAGTCTGCTTCTCCCTCTCCCTCTGCCCCTCTCCCCTGCTCATGCTCTCTCGCATGCACATGTGCGCGCTCTTGCTCTCTCAAGTAAATAAATAAAATCTTAAAAAAAAAAAAGCCCAGAAATAAAACCAAGCTTAGATGATCAATTAATCTATAACAAAGGGGACAAGAATATACAATGGGGAAAAAAACAGTCTCATCAATAAATTGTGCTGGGAAAATGAACAGCTACATGCAAAAGAATGAAACTGGACCACTTACTTGCACAATACACGGAAATAAACTGAAAATAAACAAAAGACCAAAATGTAAGAGGTGCCTGGGTGCTTCAAACGGTTAAGCATCTGACTCTTGATCTGAGCTCAGGTCTTGATCTCAGTGTCATGAGTTCAAGCCCCGTGTTCAGCTCTAGGCTGGCCATGGAGCCTACTTAAAAAATAATGATAACAATAAAATAAAATAACAAAATAAAGACCAAAATGTAGATCTGAAACCATAAAGCTCCTAAAAGAAAAAAAAGACAGAAAATTTACAGACATCAGCCATAACAATATTTTTCTGGATATGTCTCCTCAGGCACGGGAAATAAAAGCAAAAATAATTAAATGGGACTACATCAAACTAAAAAGCTTTTGCACAGCAATGGAAATGATCAAAAAAACAAAAAGGCAACCTCCAGAATAGAGAAAACAATTGTAAATCATATATCTGATAAGAGGTTATTATTCAAAATTTATAATCAACGCATACAACTCAACACCAAAACAAAAATCAAATCAAAACAGGGTAGAGTACCAAAATAGACATTTTTCTTTAAAAGAAATTACATATGGCCACTGAACACATAAAAGATGCTACACATCACTAAATACCAGGGAAATGCAAATCAAAACCCCGGTATCATGTAACACCCGTCAGAATGCCCAGGGTCGAAAAGAGAAAAAATAAGTATTGCACAGGATGTGTAGAAAAGGGAACCCTTCTGAATATTGGTGGGAAGGTAAAATGATGCAGCCGCTATGAGAAACAAGTGTGGACATCCCTCAAAAAATTACAATACAGGTATCATACAATACAGTAATTCTACTTCTGGGTATTTACCCAAACAAAAACACTAATATGAAAAAACATATTCACCCTAATGTTTATTCCAGCATTATATACAATAGCAAAGATACGGAATCAATTTATGCGTCCATCCATGATTGACTGGATAAAAAAGATGTGGTATATATGCACAAATGGAATTATTTCCTCAGCCATACTGAAGACTGAAACCTTAGAATTGGTGGTAATGTGGATGGACCCAGACGGTATTATGCTACAAGAAATGTCAGAGAAACACAAATATCATGTTATTTCGCTAGTAAGTGGAATCTAAAAATCAAAATAACAAAACAGAAACAGATAAAAAGATGTAGAGAACAAACAAGGTTGCCCGAAAGGAGGAGGTGGGGGATGGGCAAAATAGCTGAAGGCAGTTAAGAGGTGCGAAATTGCAGTCAAAATAAATACGTCTCCGCAATGAAAAGTATAGCATAGGGAATATAATCAATGATATAATAATAACTCTCTATGGTGACAGATGGTTAACTACAGTTCCATGGTGAGCAATTCCAAATATATATAATTGTCGAATCACTACGCCGTACATTGGAAATTACGATAATATTTTAGGTAAAGTACGTTTCTATTAATTTTTTTACGTAAAAACCAAAAAATATACACACAAAAATTAAAATAATAACTTAAACAAAACAATGAAAATAAGACAATATAAAATACACTGTAAAGTAAAAGATACAATAAAAAATGAATAAGGGAAAAATAAAATATAAAACGAAGGAAAATAAAAACTAAAACAGTGAAATGAAATATAAAATAAAATGATAAAATAAAAAAAAAACAGTTTCCCTCTAGCGTCTGACACTTAAATTTCACAAATAAGAGAAATAGCACGATATCACTGAAGATACATACCACAAGTGGTTTCAAAAATTGCTATTTACAAGCAAACGTCCTGGAATCAGACGCGAAGACGGTGCCCGGACAGCTCCTGAGAACACACCTTGAGAAGGAGATGCGGGA